GATACCTCAAAGTATGCACTCAGACAGTACGCTGTCGCATCGTGCATACTTTGAGGTATATTCGTAATAACCTTATATTACAACAATTATATGTCTATACTTCAACTTACCTTATTAATGTTTATAATTAGAAATAAATACTTACTTGATTATGTGATTTGTTTATCGTTTGTTATGATTTCTGTATAATAGTGCAAAGTATCTCATCATGAAACGCATATTTTACAAAATGTGGGACTAGTAAAAACACTTTTAAAAGTGTTGCGATAATAAGCAATTTGTATACATGTTCCTGGTGGAAACACTTTTTAAAACGTGTTTCTAATGGAAACAATTGAAATAATGTGTTATGTGCAAAACAATCCCTGAAATGTTGCAATGAAAATTACAAACTGCAAGTAATAATTTCCACTTTTCGCAATTATGCAGATTATAAACACTTTAAATGTTTAGTCACAAAATAGTAAAAAATGTTTTATTTTAAAGCATATAACTCATTTGCGATTTTAAGGAAAACACTTAACGTGTTTAACTATAAAACACTTAAAGTGATTTTAAAGTGGGTTCAAAAATGTGTCATCTTTTAAAACACCTAGATTGTGTAGCTCATCTAATGGGGACAAACTGAGCATATTCCATCCCATAGATTTCAATCCTCGTCCAGTTTATGTACGTTCAAAGTTGTATAGAATATATTGACCAAATACGAGTGTATGTGATAAGAACGCCGTAAACAAATTGTATTCATGTCTCCTTGAAGAAATAGTTTGACTTCTGGAATAATCTATTAAGTGCGTTATTCTACTAGAAAATGCTGTAATTATTGAAGTACGCTGAAACACTAATTCTAGGAACACGTTCAAATAAATTATATAAACATTTATTGTGCATAGAAATGTGCAACGTATGCATACGTACAATTAACTACCGCAAATGCCAGGCATGTCGCCCTCCAAAGGCGACTCTTTCCATAGGTTTAGTGGAAGATTCCATATGGGTGTTCACCCATACATATTATATCTATCTATCTATATCTATATATATATTAAAAGATTCCTCTCATTAGATAATAGGGCCCTCACTCCACAATATTTAGAATGAGTGGTTGGTCAAAAGTTTGATGAGTCAGGTGCATCTATTGGCTAAGCTTGTTGTACATAGATGCAAATGAGTATATGAACCATTAATGCTGTAGGGTGTACTGGGAGGGGTGGAGGATTTCATGTTTGTAATGACTGGTTGTAATGTGGTATCTCGTTGTTTTCAAGATGCAGCCTGATATTTGTTGCTTTCTTGGTTGTTCAATTGTGGCTACAATTTGTGTGGTGGGTGGGAGATGTGTTTATTGTTTGTTGAGTCATTGTTTAGACACCCTGCAGCTTGAAATGGTATGGCCAAATCCAAATTCGATATGGTGGTGTTGAATATCTGTG